TACAATCAATGTTTATAAACAATGATAATTTTAGTCGTTTCACACATAAAAAGGTAAGTGATACAGTCGTTAGCAAAAGTTACTATAATCTGAGTTTGATTTTGGTCACTTCCCAATTCAAATTTCTTCTCTAAAGTCTTAATTCTGATAATAAGTCTTTTATAACAAAACTGTTTATAACAAACAAGTCGATGTTCTGCAATTAGTTTCTGGAATTTTCATCTTCAAAACTTACTGCCCAGGTTTTCTGCTTATATAATGATCAAAAAATGTTTTCCAAGAGAAGTAGTAAAAAGTTTAAAAGCTGCATAAATTTAAATCAATTTTTTGAACTTACAAATACAAAAGAAAAAACATAATTTTAAAACTCAAAAACCTTCTATTGATGAGAGATAAAAAAGTACAAACGAGAGAGAGAGCACTGTATCAAAAGAACTCTAGAAAAGTTCTTTTAGGACAGAAACTATAAAAAAAAAGAAAGACAACGAGCGAAACGAAAAAAAAAGAATTTTTTTTTTGCCTAAATTTTCGACTTTAAAAAAACTGAAATTAGAGTGTATGCAATAAATTTATTAAAGTAAATTATTCGTAATACTGTGCTACTCATTTTTTTCTTTTGTCGTTTTATAACGTTGTTGAAGAAAATATGCAGTAAAAATTGAAAATTTATCGGTTGCTATCTTTTGCATGAGAGTTTGCTGAATAGATCAAGCATCAAACCTGCTATACAGGTTGGTTCTTTGGAACTATCAGTTGTACATCAACCACTTATAAATATTCTTCTCTCCTCTCTTAAAGAGTTTATTTTTATATATTTTCCGAGCAATTTTCAGCAGCATATTTTACTTATTTCCAACATGCAATTGAATAAGGAAATGGTCTAATTTCTGTACGAAATAATAATCATCTGGTAATTTAACTTTTTAAACTGCTGTAACTGGTCACATTTGAATATAAACTCAAAATAAGGTTACCGATAAGACTTTCTTTCCGCTTAAATTTTATGTAAAAACGACAGTTTAACTACAGAAGTGTTCTATCGATAAAAAAAAAATACTTTTTTAGTTTACTTGCCAAAATATAGCTAAGTCTTTTTTTCATTTTTTTTATTTATCTGTTTATTTATTTTGTTTATTTATTTATTCATTCATTCATTTATTCATTCATTTCTTTTTTTTCTTTTTGCTGCATATCATTTAAGAAATTTCACCAATTTATAGACTAATTGAAGCTATTCGTTGAAATTAAAAAAAAAAAA